TATGGATATCCTCTTATGCCATAGGAACTTCTCAAGTATCTTTTTAGTTTTCCCTTTTTGTTTTTTAATTGGTAAAAGGGGTATATGTATATAACCTTGTCCCCTTCTTGTTAACCTATAATCCAGTGTCTAAACTTATTTGAAATACTTTTTTCAGAGCAAACCTGACTGTTCTTTGCCATGTTCCTCTTGTAGCCAAATCTCCAGATGAAACTTTAGAGAAACTGGAACAGTGCTGTGTACAATATGATTTATATTGGCATAAATGGATTTTAATCTGTGCATAAAGGACAGACAGCATAATGTGTGCTTTTGGCAAGTGTCTAGCACAGGTTAAGAACTACAAGAAAGCTTTCAAGGAATCATTTAGGTTGGAGCAGATCTGGAAGATCTTCAAGTCCAGGCATTAACCCAGCACTGCCAAGTCCACAGTAATATAAGCCAATACATTAACTGCAAAAGGGATTGAAAAAAAATCTTGTAATTAAGATCACATAAAACAAAGCTGCTATGAAATGCTAGCAGTTTAGAGAAAATGTATGTTGTAAAATGAATTATGAAAAATGAAATAAGCATGAAAATTATGATGGAACAGTAGGTGCTTTGATACATTCACAGACCATTTCTATCATTAAATTTTAAATTTAAAACATGAGTTTGAGTATAGCAATTAATGAGGTACTGTGACAGCACTGAGAAATTATATAGGATAGGGAAAGACTTACTATAACTCATGAAGTTTGAATATACAACTTAGCTTCAGAAGGACAAATGAAAATGGCTGGATTTGAGCTGAGGCTTTACAGCCAGAAGCAAAAAAAGTGGTTTTATAGCAGCCAACCAGTACTTTTGCTCTTTATAAAGAACTGAGGTCACTTTGCAGTAGTGATAGAATACCTTTGCTTATCTTAATCTAATCTATGATTGCCATACAGATATAGAAAAATCTTTGTTTAGAATCACTAATGTTAACATCGGAGTTTGCATCCATTTAGCATTGAACCGTGGGCTCATCTGCAGATGCCCTGAAACTTCCTTTGAAACATGATCTTTGCTATGATTTATTGCTTTTATATCTTAGCCATCTGTTATTGTTACTGAAGTAAAAATCAAGTTTTATTACTAAATATTTTTTAGCTTTCTCTTTTTATTACCAACAAGATATAGGATGTATTTAACTTGCGGTTCTGTTTTGGACTGGGCTTGGGTTTTATGTTTTAATTTGTGCTTCTAAGGGTATTAGGGTTTTTTTGAGTGGTTTCCTCACACTGAATTCGAGTCTGTAACTGAAGCAAGAGAGCAGGAGCATCTAAAAATTGCCAGACCAGGTAGTCTTTGAGCTGGGTCCTGTTCTGTTCAGCGGTATCCATGGACTGAGAACATCTGTTCCATCATCCATCTCTGGTTCACATGGATTTCAAGTTGATGATGCTTACCAAGGGGAATTCTAGTGCAAGCTTGAACTCCAAACAAGCTATTTAAACATTTGCTCTGTGAAAGCAGCAGTGGGTTATATTTTGAAGATTACTTTAGCCTGGGTGCCCAATATTTCGCATGGAGTACATGAATCCTGTGCAAGCTTTCACTAATAAGTCAGCTTTGGGAAGTAATTATTTCTGAAGTTCCCTGATGAGCTGAGGTACCCATTAAGTACACAGAAAGTTATTTAGATTCTTAGTACAAAGTTGTTTTCAATTATTTCTTACTGCTTAGTGTTTTTAATTCTTAATAGACAGAAGAACCTGAGTGTTAGAAAGCCAGAAAAATTCACTGTTCATGTAGCAAATCTTGACTGACAATCACTGACAAGTCTATGCTTGAGTGTAGAGGCATCTTAATTAGTTCAGTCAGGGTCGGGAAGAAGATATTGGTTTCATACTGGAAGTTAATGATTAGCTGTTCTCATCTGAAATCTGTTTTCTTATGCTGCTGAGTTAAGCAGCATTACTTCGATGTGAGGTGCATGCCCAAAACACAGGGCTTATTCAGTGGTTAGCCAGTTTTCTTTGGTTTTTTTCTTCCCAAATTTCATTATCCACGATGGTTTCAAGTTTACTTAATGCATCTTTTATATTTGGGCACCATTTGAATTGTGTCAACTTCGGGCTTTTCCTCTGGCAAACTGAATGATGCTTGGGTTTGTTCTGAAAACGAATAGCTGCAGTTCAGATGATTCACTGGCCCTCTCTGATGGCTGTAGACATTTTCCCATTTTTGTTCTCCAACTGCTGTGGCAATTCCTTGAATATTGTAATTGACCTGAGATATTGGCATGTACTATGGCCTGTTTCTGCTGTGGTGAAGTTGGGCTGCAAGTCAAGGGGAGTGCGGGTGTGTGTAAATGAGATCTCTAGGATGGGATGTATTATCTTTCTTCTGTTTGACTCTATCAGGTAGTTTAAAAAAGGGGGAGGGGGGAACTCAAAAAACAAAATCCTAAACAAAATCCATGAACTGTTAACCCATTGAATAAAGGTAATTTTCCTGCCCAGAGCTGCTTTTCTCTGTAGTGTAACATTAAATGCTTGACTGCCTCAGAATTGCAAGCAGTTGAAAAATGCTGGGTCTGTATTACTCAATTTTCACTACCTATTAGTTTATATAGTGTACATGTCTCATCTTGTGCCTGTTGGCAGTACTTCTGTATTAATCTGCAGATTCAAACCTTGAGAATCATTCAGAAGGAAGCTCAGAGGGAGAACCCAAGTCGTGCACTCTGAATCTGACAATAGACAGTTGTTCATTTAGATATTCCTGCATCTGAATTAAGGTGCATCCAAAGTGCCAAAATTAATTGTGTAAAGAATCCATCACACCATTAATTTCACATCTGGCCGTTTTTAATGCATCTTTACTGGCATTCCCTACTGACTGCTAGGGATCTGCAAGTCAATTTCTTATCCATTTATAAAAGTGCTTTATTATATTGCTTAGTGCTAAGCTCTAAATTTAAAATACCACGTGATGTGAAGTCACACTGTGCAAAAAAAGAAATCAAATACCTATCAGAGTGCCAGTATAAACCAAGCCAATCAAGCCAAGCATCAGCTGTGCTTAGTCTGATCTGTTTTGCATGATGCTCATGGGTACTAAAAGATAGGAATCCAGTTAATGGATTCCTGTGCTAACATCTCTCTGCCTGTTATTGATGATAGTCCAGCTGACCTATAATTCTCAGCTTTCCTGTCTGCTTCCTTTTTGCCTAATGGTTCTGCTTGGTCTCTTCTCTCCTCGTGCCTTCATTACCACAAGAGTCCTGTAAGACTTTGTTAATAATTAACTTTTACTCATTCATTGAAACCTTCAGGACAAGCCACCTGAACATCAGCACACTGTTCTTGCAGGTGGTAAGTGCCTGTGTCCCTGTCCAGTATTGTGTCCAGAAAGATGGGAAGAGCTAAGCATTGCTTGTCTCTTTTGTAGTAATTTTATCAATTAGAAATGTGTATATATTTATTTAGTAATGAACTAGTAGTGTTAGGACACTTTTTAAAAGTCCCTAGTTTTGCTGCTGTAGTGGGATTTTTTTTCTCACTTTAATATTTATTTCTATTCTCCGCTCATTCTAATGAATTTAGACTTGTCATTGTTGTTTATAGCTCAGTGAATTAAGTTGGACTTTCACTCAAAATAATCTTAACCAGAGCTCTTGACTACCTCAAAAATATTATTTTCAGGTAGAATTTTTTTAGTGTTCTTAAACACTTTGTCCTGTATTATTTTTCTTGCACTCTTTTTCAGGAAATTAGCTTTTTGCTGTAGCGATGGGTCTAACTTTGGTTTCGGTTTCTCTTTTTGCAATGTCAGTCATGTTCAGTCCTTACCTTCAGGGGATCACTGCTTTTCATCCTGTGTTTGCTTTTTTTTTTTTTTTTTATTACTTTATCTCAAAGCACAAATTGACCAATTTGATGTCATGAGAAAGGAAAATACCCAACCATATTTAAAATATGCCTGAGTGGGTGAGTTTTAGGGAATTGCGGCAGCTCTTACAGAGACAGTGCTGTTACCCATCTTTTTGTCCTGAAGTACTGGGTAGTTACTGCTGAGAGAGTGAGGGGAAGCTGAGAGTCAACTGGCAAAGGCAAAAGCAGATGCTACTCAAACTTAAAGAACCCTACTCAAGGGGAAAGCTGCTCTGAGAGGGATGCATGCACTGGAAAGAATGGAGAGTTAAATTTCTGTGGTTCTAACAGTGTCTGACAGTCACCTTTTTGCTCGTGATCACTTCTCTGGGCTGTGAAGAGTTGGTCTCACTACATTCTCCACTCTGCTTCCTATCTGTGGTGCTGTAGGTCTTCAGAGCCTTCCCTTGATAATGCTGCACTATTTTTTCCCGTGGAGCTTTATGAGATACTGTAATACTCCATATCTGGTCCTTTAATCTGTACTATTAACGTCATTATTTCAGCCTTAAGACAGTGGCTAATGAAATGTACAGCACGCTGAGGCTGTCCAAGAACACTAGTTTTCTTTGTTAAGCAAATGGTTTTCAGTGGTCACTTGAAAATACCTTTTCTGGAGGTCAGCATGCAAGACTTGAATTTTTTTCATGCGCACATTTGTGTGGTTTAATTAGAATCTTGTGTGATTTTCTTGTTAAAGCAAAGTGAAATGCTTTAAAATACCATTTGCCACTGGTATTTCATTGCAGCTTTGACTCTTTAGTACTTAAAATTATTTTGGAATATGTGTGTTTATGGATCATCTAACGTGGCAGCCCTTTTCCCTGAAAACACATTTTTTGCCAAATAATGGTGTTCCCTATTTATCTGTATGCCTAGAGATAAAACACAGCTCTGCATTCTATTTTTTGTAACATATTTTTCCAAAGTCACAGTGGTGTATAGATCCAGAACTATGATTATGAAGTAGATCCACAAAAACAGTATGTCAGGAACCAGATCTGTGTTTGCTTTTCCAAGGTTAAATAACATTGCATTTAAGACTCCTGGTGCAAAAGAATAAATTTTCATAATCTCTCTTTTCTTTTAAAACAGACTGGAGGCCAAGAACAGAGTGCAGCACTGGCAGTAGGTAAGAATTGAAACTTAACCTTGGTGAAAACACTCCTGAAAAATAAGCAAAATTGTAATATGTTAAAGGGCAGAAAATGTGACTGTTTGCATATTAACAATTTTCTCTTCAGGAACTCATTTCCCCTCATTTCCTTCTATAACTTTTGAAATTTTGTGGTATTCACTAGGAAGTCCTGATCTCTAGATGAATTTATACCTCTCTGATTAAAGTTGCTAAACCAGGCTGCGAGGGTTTGGTTTTTGCTTGTGCAGCACCCCACCACAGCCTGGTAATGATTTTGAAAACTCTGCACCATAGCAGTGTGAAGTCCCATTGTTTCAAGGAAGGTATTTTTGGTGTGCACATGGTTTGGCCACATTTGTGAACGTACCTTGGAAGATTATGCAACTTCTTGAGAGTTATGAATGAAGAGAGAATGTTTTGGTGGTTTTTCTTTGTAAGTCTCTTCAGTAAAACTACTGTGTAACTTTACTCCTGAACCAGATGCCTTGTGCCAGAAACCAGTACTCTGAACCAACTTGTAAGACTGAAGAGGTAGCATATGCTCATGTGAAGGTTTTAGCTCTTAGTTTTTTAACCTGCTGCTTGTTATTGGAGCTACTGCACAGAGTATCTGTGTTATACTTCACTTTCATTGTGCTTTGCCAGCATAACTATCTGTCTTCTCTCAAATTGGGAAGGTAATGGTACCAAATGTGAGGTAGGATTTTTTTTCTTCTGTTTTTGATTAATCATCAAAAAGCCCTTTGACGAAACTGATTTGTGTGGTGTATTGACCTGGGCTGGATGCCAGGTGCCCACCAAAGCAGCTCTGTCATTCCTCTCCTCAGCTGGGCAGGGGAGAGAAAATAGAACAAAAGGAGAGATCACTCATCAGTTACAGTCATGGGCAAAACAGCCTTGACTTAGGGAAATTTGTTGAATTTATAACCAATCAAATCAGAGCATGTTAATGAGAAGTAAAACAAATCCTAAAACACCGTTTCCCCCACTCCTCCCTCCTTACCAGGCTTAATTTTATTCGCAATTTTCTGCCTCCTTCTTTGTGCCTCAGCATAGAGAGATGGGGAATGGGGGTTACAGTCAGTTCATCACATGTTGTTTCTGCCTCTTCTTCCTCCTCAGGGAGAGGAGTCCTTACCCTGCTCCAGTGTGAGGTCCCTCCCATGGGAGACAGTCCTCCACAAACTTATCCAACATGAGTCCTTCCCAAGGCCTGCAGTTCTTCACAAACTGCTCCAGTACTGGTCCCTTCCATGAGGTGCAGTCCTTCAGGAACAAGCTGCTCCAGTGTGGGCCCCCATGGGGTCATAAGTCCTGCCAGCAAACCTTCTCCAGCATGGCCTCCTCTCTCCACAGGGCCACAGACCCTGCAAGGAGCCTGCTCCAGCACAGGCTTCCCATGGGATAACAGCCTCCTCCAGATATCCACCTACTCTGGTGTGGGGTCCTCCACGGGCTGCAGATGGATCTCTGCTCCCCTGTGGACCTCCATGGGCTGCAGGGGCACAGCTGCCTCACTGTGACCTGCACCATGGGCTGCAGGGGAATCTCTGCTCTGCTATCTGGAGCACCTCCTCCCCCTCCTTCCTCACTGACCTTGGTGTCTGTCCCGTATTCTTGGTGTCTCTCACGTATTCACACTTCTCTGGGCACAATTACTTCTGTGCCATAACTTTTTTTTTCCTTCTGGAATACGTTATCCCAGAGGTACTGCCACTGTCACTGATGGGCTTGGCCGTGGCCAGCAGTGGGTCTGTCCTGGAGCCAGCCGGCGTTGGCTCTGTCGGACATGGGGGAAGCTTCTGGCAGCTGCTCACAGAAATTCTCCCTGTCATACCCCCACCACCACAAGCTTGTCACGCAAACTCAATGCAATTTGTCTTCAGTTCTGTTGACAAGAGTAGAAAACATTTCCCAGTGCTGTGTCCAAAATTATTTGAATTCTCCATTCAGAATTAAGAATATATGACACTATAAATATTACTAAAGTACTCGTATTTACTTTAGTGCGTAATTTATGTTTTAAAATATTTTGCAGAATTTCTGGTTTTGATGAGATACCACATTTTTGTTATTCTTAGGAGACTTTATGATATTGCTGTGTCAGACCCACGGTCCTTTTTGCTTTACTGTCTTGACTCACTGGGTTATGGAATGAATCTAGGAACTGGGCAAGCATACAGCAACATTTTCCAAATCTATAATAAACTAATGGAAAAACATCCAGTGCCAGTAGCAGTAGTAGTTTTTTCATTGAGTGGCTTTTACTTGCAAAGTCATTTGGGTGTGTGGTTAAAGCTGCAGTTGGAACTAGTGCAGACTTTTAATTTACAGCATCATGTGCATTTGCAAAGGATACATTGTAAAAGTCACTAGACTGAGTCAGACCATGGGCCATCTAGCCAAGTACAGGCTCCAGGATCACCATCTTACTGCCCTCTGCATGTGTACACTTGATTTTGCACATCCTTTCACACCCTCCACTTACTCCTCTACTTCAGCTGCTTCTGCTTAGAAAGGTGAGAGTCATCCAGAAAAGCTAGCAAAAGTCAAGGAGCATTGCTGGGAATGGTACTGCCTGCAGGAAGAGGAATGCTGTCCAGAAAATGGCTGCAACACATGGCAAATAACTTCTGTTTTCTTTGAAGAAACTGTGAATCAACAGTATTTCAGGTATTGAAGGGAAATGTTTATGAATTAAGGTGGTGGGGTGTCCACTTCAGCAGAAGTTTGGGTGTCAGACTGCTGATGCTTTCAACTTCTCCAGCTGTGCTGGGACAAAGTAGCTGCCAAATGTTTGACAGCGTCATAAAGCATTGGGGAATCACCAGTGTGAAAGGTTGGGAGGGACTGGCAGAAGCCCTGCCCAAGCAACATGTTCAGTAAGAAACCATCTGTTGAAATCACCTTACCTAGTAAGGTAACTGAGCTCCAGAAATAAGTGGGGAGTACTGAATGCTTTGTTTAAGTTTCAAAGAATGGGGCAAACCTAACTAGATGTTGCTGTCTGAATAAGGTTAAAACTTGAAAAAAGCTTAATATCCAGTAAAACCTGAGCCTTCATATGTGAGCAGATGCCTAGGAAAGAATGGGAACAAGGAGACCATGTGATTCTTCTAGGATGTCAGTATTTTAAGGTCACGTATTTTTCAGAGCCAGATGGGATTATTAAAGGTATTCAGTATTCTTTAATTGCTTTCTGTTCTGCATATATACCTGGTTTTCCCCAAGAACTGCTGCAAACTCCTCATGAGATGGGATGAGATGTACTTGGAGAATTCACAGATGGACAGTGCAGGAAATCGTAACTCTGCATGATATTCTGTATATTTGTTACTGATCTTAACGGATTGCAGGTTGTGTAATACCACTGAAGAATAGCAAATGTTCCTCCATTTTTCCAACAGGTGGATGAAAATAAATTATCTTATATCTTAGGCTTATAGGACACCAGTAGTTTGATTTTTAAGATTGAAAGAGATATGTTGGGAGGGATGGAAAATGAGATAAAAAAATCTGATATTTATTCAGCTAGAGGAATCTGGACCAATGTAGTCAGGGATTTTTTGTTTAGGTTGGATTTTTTTAACACTTGCTTTGTAACAGGAAAAACTATCCAGGTTCAGTAAAAGTTGATGCTATGTCTCATGAGGGTATCTGAAGAAGTAACTGAATGTAACAAAGATGGCTGTAGAGCCTTGATCTTGCAGGAAATCTCTTGTGAAACCTCAAATCAGTAAACCATGTAGGGACCAGTTTTATCCTTCTATGCTGCCTGATGCCTATCTGTTTGTTACTGTTTCTGAAAACAGATGGGATGGGAAGGAGCATCATCCTGCTAGTCATCCTCTGTTGTTCCGTCGTCATCTTGATGTGCTTCATTAGCCTTCTGTATTCTGCAAACATACTTTTTCTGACTGGTGTCTCGGGAAAAGAAAAGTCCACGAGGTGATCAGAAAGCTATCCTTCCAGCTCTGTGGTTTGGAAGGCCATAGGACTTCCCTTCCTCCTTGGTGTTTCAGAGCTGGTGTGTCACTGAACTGAGTTCACAGATGGACAGTCAGTGTCACGCTCATACATACAGGGTTTGTGGTTTAGTGCTGTGGCATTCCAGAAAATGTCCCTTGAGATGGAATGTGTCAATGACTATTAATATCCATCAGCTTTATGACTAGATAATTTGTCATTATATCGTTAGTGTAGGATTACAAGCCAGGACACTGAAGGGGTGCAACAATTTCAGAGCCCGTCTAGAAGAAAACATTTTACCTGAGTGTTGTAGAGCGATGCAGATGCTTGTACTCCTTGTCCTGGTGCATTAGATGGCAGCACTGCCAAGGCTGTTGGAGCCTCAGCTCACTACTGAAATTGTGACAGTCTGGTAGATGGGAATTCAGCTACTCTGAAAGAAAACATTTTTCAAGTCAAACTAGGCTTGAAGAAGAGTGCTGTTTCACATGTGAAACAGCAACTGAAAAGTGGCACATCAGTTGAACTAGACACTGTAGTGAAGTTGGAAATTGAAAAGATTTTTTTTTTTTTTAGCCTTTATTTAAAATGTGAAGATTTGGTGGGTTGTGGGGTTTTTTATTTGTTTTGGGGTTTTTTGGTTGGGGTTTGTTTTTTCTTCTTTACACTGAGGTGAAAAGCTGGCAAGAGAAGGACTTAGTAAACAAATTATTGTTGGGTTTGTTTTTTTTTTTGAGACAAGAGCTTGAGGGTTGTTAAATTACGGGCTGACATCCTTGAAATATGAAACTTTCTTAGTAATGTGGTAGTGTAGCACAGTTTTAATAGGCATGTCATCTTTTGTTGATTAAGCAGCTTTTCTCTGAAAGAATAAAACCCCAATATGTAAATCTACCATAGCTCTTATTTAATAGGGGGGGGTTGTATCTTTATATACCTGATAAAAACATTCTCACCTTACCTTAAAAAAAAGACAGACTTCAGGATCAGCCACTGTTTCCATGATAATGTCACACTGCTAAGCG